TGGGGGGGTGCATGCTGAGGCACAAGTACACAAGCAGTACTTTCAACTGACTAGTCCTAGACTCTCCTGGATTTGCTCAGTCTAAACCTAAAACCACGCTCCCTCTGACGTAGCCTCCTGCTTCATACATGTATTTATATCACATCCCAAATTCCTATACTTACCTTTCTAAACAGCATCATTTCACCAACGATAATTTAGAATTATAATAGCCATTCTGAGGAAATTTTGATGTGTATAAGTGTTTGAGATGTTCTTTAGAACATAAAGGAACAAAATTCCAAATATTCAATGGTCTGCATTTTTAAATTGTTTTTGAGGAAGTATCTAAAGGTATTCAGATTCTAAAATTGTTTCCTTAAAAAGTGTTTTGGCCAAGGCAAAAAAAAAAAAAAAAAGGGAGAGGGGAATGAAAAACTAAAAATGGTCTCTCTTTTAGATTCCGCCAAATTTCAGCACAAATCTAATTACCTTTATATTATTATTCCTCTTCCCCAGCCTGTGGTTTTCCATTTACTTCTGACTTTTCTTTTCTCCTCCTAGCTATCCAGAAACCCCCAAAGAGCGATTATCTCATAAAGTTGAATCCCCATAGGAAGAGAAAAAACCATTTAGGTTTTAAGATCCAGTCTCATTCTGAGCTGAAAGCCAGTGTTAAAATTTTTCCAAAACTTAGAAAGATAAAATTTGCAGAGGAATTAGGAATAATTTTAGGAACATATAATCCAGCACTCCCAAATATATATCAAATAGTGCATATGTTCAGATGCAAAGAATTGGATGGAAAGGTAGGATTCAGAGACCCCAAATTGTATATGAAATCAGAGAGATTTAGAAAAGCTATATATATTCAACAACGTCTTTTGGAAACTATCCCCCAAAATCATTCCTGTGAGCATAGATTAGACTAGGATTCAGTCCTAAATCCACAGAAAGGCTCCATCCATTGGGGAATTCAGAGACAGGCTCTTTAATACCTTTAGAGAGCAATCAGAAGTAACTCCTGATGCAAATAGAGCAAACTCTCTGCTAACTTTCTGTGACTAATCTTATGCCTGAAATAGAAGATTTAACACCCAAGAAAAACTAAATGGGAAATAGCCCCATTGCCAGACCTTCAACACTTTGCTAAACATTTTGAAAGAGCCTAAGAATAAAAATGTAATACAATTTGGAATAAATTTATGACCTTATAGACAAAACAATTAGATACTCCCAATCATTAAATACAAAGACAGCCACTTGGTAAAGACATTTTTAGATACATGAACAGAAAAAATATTGGCCACTCCCCATCCCCCCACCACCACCACCCCCGCCCCCCCCAAAAAAAACACTAAAGGAAGTGCACAGTGCA